AAAAAACTTAAAAAAGGCACCAGCAATTGGTAATCCCCGTCAAGTCCCTATGTTCTTTAGAGAAACAAACTGTTAAATAAATTATGGTAACTGAAATGACCTTCAAGAATAATTGAATTTTGATAGGTTCCCAAAAGAGACCAATGGAAAGATAGATGAGACAATTTGAGCAAGTCACAGAGCTTCCTACTGCCCAACTCGAAACGAATAGGCTGTAAACATCAGTCCTACAACTGTAGCCGAAACTGAAGTGACTAATTATAATCCGGTACCAGACAAAGCATCGGGACACGGTGGTATGAGTCTAGTGTCTAAGAACTATCAAGATGATGTCATCTTGACTAAAGTATTAAATACCGTATAAAAATTCGAGATATTTTGACTCGCTCAGTGCGAATCGCTTATCATCCCAATTTATGGGACAGGGGATAAATCTTCCTGCGATAATCACTGGAGGATCAGCTTGATCGGCAAAGTATGCAAGATTCTGGATCCCATAGTCCTAGGATTGGTGAAGTTCAAGAAAAACAAACCCCAGAACACCTGGCGGGCATTACACCAGAGTGAGAGTGTACTGATCATAACTCCAACATATGACAGTTTCTGAAAAATAAACTTTCCTACAGGCTTCCAACGCTTAGCACATTCTTTTACAAGACGGTGTCATTTAATTTCACCGATCGGCAGGTCCTGCGACAATGTTCAGCTTGAAGGGAGTGTCAAGAATGCATATAGTGTTGATCATATGACTCTGCTCGAACTGAGGAAGTTGTGCGATCGTGCAGTGACTTATCGGCCGAAGTGACAACAATCACTTGAGTCCTACAGGGATGGTCTTTATCAGGAATCCTACTTGAATTCAACATAGATAGGTTGATAGATGTGACCTGATCAATTAAGAAGTCCCAATGATTGACTTTTTACTCATATAGTGTTTTTTCCTACAGTTAAGCTCGCTAAACACTTTTCAACCTGTGTCATGGTAAAACCTAATTAGGTAACGTAAACTATCTGACTCGGGTCATCAGGATTGAAAAAAATCAATGGTTGGAGGCTGTTGCGGACACGGTTTGAAATCGTTCGCAACGGCACAGGGTTATTGATTTCTTGTTGTTATCCAGTTCCCAAAAATCTTCACACCTCTTTTCCCTCCCATTCTTTCCACTGAAACAATTTGCTTTGTATGCAAATTCATCAAGCAAAATAGTTTAGAAGTGAGTGTTCCGATCAACTACTTCTTTTCGACTGAGCTACAGATCAATTTCTACAGTCAACAAATGATCAATAGATGTATGAAGGACTAACTGCCGCTTTGGGCCGCTTCAGTATTGGCCGCACATCCCAAACGCATCTCCTAGCATTAACTGGTAGAGGTTATCAAGGAAACAATGCAAGTCAATTACTAGTTCGATTCTCGACAGTCTGGCGAACTCACTCTACTGGAATCGTCTCTTAAAATTATCTTCAAAGTAACACGGAATGGTACGGGGGGTGTTAAGTTTAGATACTTGTGTATAGCGGAGGCACTAGCTATTCCTTAATACAACCCTCAACTGTGTGTGTGTGTAGAAAAGGTTTATTCATTGTCTCATTCTACCATGGTCATATGACTTTTCCTACTCATTTGCTTCTATTTTTAGTAATTGATTCACTAGTATCACTCTGACATGTTCATTTTGTACACCCGACTGATTTCTTTTTCTGTCACCTTCATACTTTTCGAGTGGACTCTAAGTAACTAGCTACACATCGAATAACAATTTTCATCTTGTCAGATTTCAAAACCCTTACTTCGATTGTCTCACTGACTATTGCGTAATTCCTCTTGAGCTTTAGAAACCGCCTCTAAGCAGTTGTACCAATTATATATCACCCTCCCTCATATTATTCAGTAATAAAGAACTATACAGTACTTTTGAAGATTAAGCAGGGAGAGTATCAATAATTAAGAACACAATATTCAGCGAAGAGACTACGGCCAATGTACCTTGCTCCACAAGAGCAGGTGAACTGGTAGATGCACATGGAGGCCGTAGTCAGAGGACGCCGCTTTCGATACGGATACGAGAACATATTCCAGCTGCATGGTTTTACAGGGGAGAAAGGAAGTGTGTGTTTGTGAAGCTCTATTCTGGAACACCTGATCGACTTCTATCACTCTGTCAAACCCTGACCATGATTTCAAGATCATATATAGAATCCATGCTAACTTATAAGTCGCGTTTTCTTCGTTACAGACTTCTAAAGACAGCTGAGGCCTTGGCAATTCATGACTTTAAGCCAGACCTTTGTGTACAAAAGAAGTATGCACAATCCTTACTTCTGCCTTGGCCGTAGAGGAATAAACATTTAGTTATTTTGTTTATTTAGTTATTCTATGTACCTTCCCCTTATTACTACGATTATTATTGCTATTATTATAATTATCATTATTACTATTCATTACGGTGATATTATTACCATTCTCACTCTGAATCTTTTCCAATTGACATTTTAAACCCAAAATTATTAATTTTTTATTTTTACAATATTGAATTCCAACCTATCAAATTTCACACCATGTTATGTAACATTTTATATTCGTACACTAATCTTATAATTATGTACTCCTTTCCAAAATCTATACACTTTATGTATTATTCTATATATGACATTAATTATTTTGCCACTTGGCATTAAACTATGATTATAATCACAAATATGGTAGTTCTACCATTTCTAGACTGCCTAGTTAAGAGAAAGGAAAACGGACATTTTGGTTTATCCATATTCAGGAAGAAAACCCACTCTAATAAATATTTAGACTTCAAATCATCACACCTCATCAGTGCAAAGATTTCAGTTGTTTCAAGTCTTCTTAGACGACCACACTTTCTGACAACGGATGAGCAAGAAAAAGAAGAAGAAATATCAAACATTACTGAAACTCTCAAGCAAAACAACTACCCAAGGAACCTCATCAACAAAATAAGCACAGACATTAAATATGGCCGAAAACGCATTCCAAATCCTTAAGGATCCTCTATCTAATTGTGCCCATAAAATAAAATGCATGGAATGTGATGAGATATTCATCGGACAAACATCTCGAGAAATCAAAATCAGAAGAAATGAACACCGTAGAGCATCTCTTCGACCACCGAGAAATCCAGGTAGTGAACTATAAAAGCTTGAAGAATCATCAGCCATAGGTTTACACGCTAGAGAATCAGGCCACAAAATTGATTTTGACAATATTGAAATAATCCAGAAAAACTTCAGAAATCACAAAGAACGCCTAATATCAGAAGCCAGCACTTCATATCAAGTAGAATCCAAACTGCCTGAATAGGAATAATGGACTAAAACAGAATTTGACCTGGTTGCAACACCTCCCTCCCCTGGGCCATGAAGTGACAAAATCAACACAAATGTGATGGGCAAGTTCACTACGTAAACACAAACTACATTTATAATTTTACACACTGACAAAATCCAACAAACTACACTTGATTTTGTTATCTTTACCAGATGACCAACGTGACAACAAAAAACGACCCCAGATAGACGAACGATGATCAAGTTAGTACACCTTATTTATAAAATTGATATCATAACAGATGTACTATTCATTATAGTAAAGGTTTTTTTGTATTTCCCAATGAATGAAAAACAAAACGATATTGTTGCTGTTACTGACGTTTCGCTATTTAATGCTGCTAATAGCTTTATCAAAGTGAAAGTAAGATGTACTATTACCTTGGTTATTTCGTTTAGTGATCTTCATTACTATTCTGACTTTATATGCATCCCTTCAACTTGACCTAAGTTTATTTTCTCACCCCTTAAAACTCTTTGTTATATATATGCTGAGATTTTGTAAATTCTGGTTTAATAATACTTTGAGAAAGCTATTAACACCAAATAGCGAGACGTCAGTAAGAGCAACAATATCGTCTTGCCCTTTTCATTCATTGGGAAATACAAAAAAACCTTTACTATAATGAATAGTACATCTGTTATGATATCAATTTTATAAGTAAGGTGTACTAACTTGATCATCGTTCGTCTATCTGGGGTCGTTTTTTGTTGTCACGTTGGTCATCTGGTAAAGATAACAAAATCAGATTTCAAAACCCTTACTTTGATTGTCTTATTGACTATTACATAATCCTTCCCCAGCTTTAGAAACCGCCTCTAAATATAGTCGTATCAATTATAATATCACCCTCCCTCATATTACTACTCAGTAATAAAGAACTGCACAGATTCGGTTAATATAAGTACAACTGTACCAAGAGCACCTGTGAAGATTAAACAAGGAGAGTATCACAATAATTGCGTGATGTGTAATATCATCAACGTTGAAAAGAAAACTACTAGATGAAATAGACTTCGATGAACAGCAGAGCACAGCACAGCACATCGCGTTGAAAAAGATGTGTTACAACACATGGATGATATGACCAACATTGTATTTCGCTTACTTAAAAATAACAACAATATTACATATGCAATCGATTTTCTTTTTACAAAAACGCAGCGTATACCCCATGGGAAAATAGAACATGGTAACCGTAATCAATAAGCCGTTCACCGTGGAAAACGGTTAAACCACCCACAGTTATTTATTTATGTATTTCCTGTAATAAATTAAATACTCCTATCACATAAGAAATGTGGCATATACACAACTATTATTATTATTATTGTTTTTTAAAGATATATACTTGATTGTAAAATAATGAAATGTTAGAAATCAGTAAAACAGCTGTTGTTCAAGAGTGTACACACACACACAAAATAAACATTACTTGAAGGAAGGAAGACACGCAACAGTGATGGTATAGCATCCATTTCTCATCATCATCAGGTTGACCAGATCTTAAATACCAAGATTTTCCAGGCAACCGTCATATAAATGGATTTTGAAATTCGTTACTGATGGATGGATAGGTTTATTTTTTTTTAAATCTTGTCGTCTTTGGAGTCTGTGTCAGTAAGTTACCGACTATTACTATTTACTCCAAAGACGAGTTAACCTCATCCACCACCACCAGCCATCGGGGGACAACCAGGTGCATCTGGATATATTGTAAAAGGAAAAAGAAAGTGCACTGCGTTAAAAAGAATAAATAAAACTTAATAGGTCATCTTACAGTAATACTCAATAAACCTGCTTAGACCCCAGCTTCGATATCAAAAGGACTAATCAAGGATGAGCTGTGAGTAATATTACATGTTTGTGTTAGAGTTTGGCTGTCTTCTTGTAAATAAAAACAGTGGTTTTCTATACTGATGACACAAGATACCAAAATAAATTGATAATTAATTTTGACGCAGTTGTGTTCTCTGGTTAATTTGCGAAGCTTTCATCACCCTACTGGGTGACATCTTCAGCGCATACTTCAATCCAGTGAAGTGAGCTTTTAGACTTCTCCACGAGTTTATTAGTCATCTCTCCTGGTGACTTTGAACCTGATTGGTTGTTTTTGCATGTTTTCACACCTTCTAGGCTACTTGTATTGGAATTGATTGTTTCTTCGACTTGAACTTTGACCCATTGTGTGTGAGGTTTCTTTCTTATCGGTTGATAAATTTTGTCTACTTGATGTGTCTATTGATTGATGATTCACTGGAATACGAGGCACCCTTCTACAAATTCTCTAGCACTCCTGGTGTTGTTTCCTCTGTCTAATATTTGAACGTTGGTTGTCCCAGTCGTATTGATGTCCGTGGTTGTCTGTATGTAGTGAGTGGATATCATGTCATTTGACGGCTAGCTTATTTTCGTGGATACGAAGACGAAGAGGACGTCCACTTTGGCCAATGTAGTGTTTTTCACAGTTGTTACAGTTTATTTTGTAGATGATGTTGGTTTTTTCTTCTTTCGCTGTTGAGTCTTTTGGTTGACATAGAATTGAGTGAAGTGACTTTGTTGGTTTGTGTACGACGTCAATTCCTAAAGGTTTGAAGAGTCTTGCAGTGATTTCTGAGATATCCTTTATATATGGTAAAGCGATTTTCTTTGTGCTTTCCTTGGGGGCTTTTGGTTTGATAGGTTGGCTTGGGGGTATATGTCTTTTGATGAAATTCCGTGGATATCCATTCTTTTGGAAGACGTTCAATAGATATCTTTCTTCAATTTTCCTTAAGGATAAGGGAATCATCAATCAATAGACACATCAAGTAGACAAAATTTATCAACCGATAAGAAAGAAACCTCACACACAATGGGTCAAAGTTCAAGTCGAAGAAACAATCAATTCCAATACAAGTAGCCTAGAAGGTGTGAAAACATGCAAAAACAACCAATCAGGTTCAAAGTCACCAGGAGAGATGACTAATAAACTCGTGGAGAAGTCTAAAAGCTCACTTCACTGGATTGAAGTATGCGCTGAAGATGTCACCCAGTAGGGTGATGAAAGCTTCGCAAATTAAACATCCAGCTCAGAGAACACAACCACATCAAAACCGACCAACATCCTTAAGCTCAACCAATATGCAGAAGAAAATGTAGGTGGATTGCAAATACGCTAAGGACACGGCGTTGAGTAACACGGAGCATTAGGCAGACGCTTGAATGGAACACGAATGAGAAACGACGAGTTGGGCGTAAGTCTGAGGGTAGGTGACATGGAGCAGATCGTGTGAGGATCTTATGAGTACTTGTGGAGCTAGCTAGAAAAGATTGCAGGGGACGGGATGAAACGGAGATGTTCTGCTGGAGCCATATACTCCACTCAGAAATCAAAAGCACGATAATAAGTCAAAGCACACTATACAGTAATACTAATAATGTTCAAGTGCTTGGTTTGTGGTTATCTGATTGACCTCAAAACAGATTTTATCGCAAACAGACATGTGCTTACCGTTGCTATCGGTGACTTTCCTCAATGTGTGTTTATCAATTCACTTGTTTTAGTGGAGCAAGATATGTCGGGTGCATTCAGTGTTTACTTTCTACAGGTACAAGAGAATAAATACCGTCCTAGTTTTACAAGGGGAGAGGAAAACCTCAGAGTTCAATATGTAAACATGTAATAGATTCCAATCAACCGGTGGAACCAAAAACTAGTTTTAGTGATATCTACAAGGTTATTATTATTATTATTGTTCCCTTGGGTTCCTAGTGGAACACAGGGCTTCAACTGTACGTCTCCACTTGCCACTTCTGTCTTCCTCCTGCTGTACTTTTCACCTGCATCCATCTTAGTCCATACTGTTTCAACTCCTCAACTCTTCACACGATCTCCTCACCCTTGTCACGCTTGCACTGACGTCCCAATCGCCTCTTCCCTTTCGGCCTGGTTCCACTCGAACAATGGCCTGACGCGCGCGATGTCAACCAACGACGGCCTCCTCAGCGGGTGTCCAATCCATCTTCTGCATATTTTGCTTGGGCGATTGGTTCTTGTTTTGTTTGTTTGTTTGTTCTCATAGTTGTTTCTTGTTGGTGATTGTTTCTGGCCCGGCCATCTGATCTTCAGTATAGAGCCAGCGAAGACAGTTGTTGGTTGATAAAGGTCTGCAACAGACGGTTGGAAATATTCTTTGTGACCCGCCCGCCCGCCACGTTTCTGATCCGTATAGAAAGAAGAACTGACTGACTTGACGTTTGTATTGAAAATCCTCCTGAATTTTGTTGTTGATGCTGGCTGAGTGACGAAGATTTCCAGATTGGTTTCAGGTTGACAAGTGAATGTGTTTCTCGCCTTCCCGATTCTCGCTCGATTTGACATCCTCGTCCGTTCCGACTTCCTGTAGTTGAGACAATGCTCCATAGATAAGTAAGTGAGTGAAGTAACCTATTTCAAATCCCTCCCGTTGATGGTGATTGGAGCTGGATGCTGCTGTTGTTGGTGGTGGTTTGTTATTTCTATAACCTCCGTCTTGTCTATGTTCACCTGGAGTCCTGTCTTCACCGGCTACTTCTTCGACCAGTTTTTCGGTCGGTTTTCGCTTGTAAGTCTTCGATTTTGTGTGACATCAAACATAAATCATGCACGCGCGAAATCTAGGTCTTCTAGGTTCTTCACGTCGGTCCAGGATAGATATCTACAAGGTATGTATGGAAAATCTCTAGAAAAGGTGTGAATAACTACTTCAAACTGCGGATACTATGACAATTTATATGTAAAGCTTCAAAGTTTGCATAGAAAAAGGTTCTCTCTCCGGTCACTGGATTTGCGTTACGTATAGCCAGTAGAACATTTGACCTTTAAATTTTATTTTCTGAATCCGTTTCTAGTATGTTACATCTCCTCTACATATTATATTGCTTTCTAACTTACAAATCTAATATTTGCATCGTTGAAATACATTTGATTCCTTTAACTACTGTATTGATTAAATCATTTGAATAAGGTCAATCACACACAACCTATAAAATTCTAAGTATGTGTACAGAATAATTAATAAAGTAATTGAAAATGCAACACGATGCAGGTTAACCAGAGGCTGCAAAATCATACACAAAATGTACTTAGAAATTACGCTAATATATCTTCTAGACGGAAGGTTCAAGGTGATTCAAAAAGGTCTGCATACTTTAAGAAGGGAGTTAAGTAAAAAGAAAACCACAACAGCTAGAGATGGATAAGATGGCGGTAAACGACTAATAAGCTGCACAATAACAAACAAAAAGCGTAAGTGTTGCATGATCAAATAGCTCCGTGAACAACTGCTTGAAGCCGTTCACATAAGGCCTCTTTGAAGTGACTTCTGAAGTTATCTCCGTGCGAAGATGTTATCGTCAGCTACGGACTGTGGCAAAGTAAGTTAGAATGCTTAATTTTCGGAGACAATTTTCTCTTCCATCCTGCAGCTTATAATCCACATAAGGTGGGTTGCTGGTCATCCAAGAGAAAAATTTCACTGTTATTATACACACTTCAGGCCCCCAATAGTGTGAGCAACTGATAGTATGATGGTGAGTGTTTCTGATTTAATCATTATTCCAAACAATTCTTCGGGTATAGAAGGACCTTCACGTGCTTACATTCCAGCTAGTGTGGCTCGTTAGGTCATTGGGGGTATGCCAGCCCAATCACCATGTCAAAGTAGCAGCTATCAGTTTGAAAACATAAATCTGGCTACATGCTATAAATCCAGAAAATTTGAGAATTAAATCGCGTCGTTTGATGGTTATCTTAAAAGGTTTCTAAATATCTACTTGGCGTCGGTGGCATAGAGGTAGAATTCTCGCCAACCACGCCTCATGTGGTCCGGGGTTCGATCCCCGGCCACAGAAGCACTCCTTTACCTCGCAAAGCCAGTAATAAGACTGGTAAAGAGGGGAGGTTAGGCATGAGGCTAGCACTCCCATCCAGTAAAAATAATCACCACTGCTACTGAAACTTCAAAGCTCTAGTTTGAAGCCCTATTTTCCACTGGGATCGTACAGGAATAAAATAAATAATAATAAACAAACATCTACTTTGTGTTCCGTATCAACAAGATACCTAGCGAATGCACAATTGAAACTTTTTGTTCCATTTAGACACAGGCTTTTTGGTAGGTGTACAAAAAGACAGAAATGTACGTTCTTCTTTCTGTTCTCCAAGCATAACTGCTACTGCAGATAAACGTAACTCCTACACAATTAGGAGAAACAGGATAGGGGTACCTGCTGACTTTTGACCGAACTAAAGATGCAAATTGTCTCTAAGGTAGGTTTTAGCTAGTGAAGTGTTTAATTTTCTATTGACTATTCCTGACTAGTTAGCATTGGTTTGTAGCTGTTATATCAATGGCACAACCATGTCGGCCGATTAAATATTAGTGTCATTAACTTACACACCACAACTCAAGCCTCTATCTCTAACCATTACACTGCTCATAGAATGCTTTAACCAAACAAAAGGGAAAAGGTAATTAAATACAGGAAGTGTCTCTTTCGAATAATTATTGTTTAACAGCTAACTGTTCACATCAGAGGAAGTGGATAGTGAGGTGAAGTGTCGATGTATATCAGTGTGTTGGCAATACAATTTACACTAGGAAAATGACAGACTTTCATTTAAAACTCTTTCAAATTGCTACCCATAATGTCCAGAGGTTAAACACACAGGACTACTTTGCTTATGTACCAAGGCTTATTTATGTAAGCCAACCAAGAAATTCTCAATGACATCAGTATTTATCAAGTTAAAAGAGACAGAGAACTTTACGACGATATCTACAATAAATTGAAAAATAAAAAAAGATACGAATTGTTGTGTTTGGACTAACTGACCTAGACACCTAACGAAATATTTCACGCTTTATTGCAGAGGTTGGAATAAACAAAGCTTAGTGAAGTGACGTATTTAACATTGTCCCATTAAATTCAGAGTTAATGCAATAGGTATACATCTCCATGGATGAATTCAGATGTTACCTTCAAGGCAAAAGATATAACTGCTGTTGGGCACTGGTAAATATGCTTATGTTCTAGAGCATACTGGTGGGTAGACATAATAAAGATGAATTTTGAGTTCAGTTTAAAATCTCTCCCAATTTATCTATTTTCACTGCACTCTATTTAGGCGCCAAATATCCATGCAGTCTGGAATTCTAACGTGTGAGTATAAATTCCTCATGGTTGGGAAAATGGAAGGGAATCTTATCTGACACCCATAGATGACCTAACATCCCACTTAAATCACAGTACAATGTTAAAGAAAGCCCACTGTCAAACGATTACTCAAACATGTCGAAATGAAAGTTTAGCAAACCCTCAGGCAACGAAAAGTCGTAGATCTTTTTGAAATAAGTAAACATGAAATTGCACAAAAACGGTCTCATAACAGTGATGGAAAGAATCTCACCTCTACAGCTTCCAAATCCTCCGAATCGTCGTCCAGGTGGTCGAGGTGGTGGTCTAGAAAATAATCTCATCAATTATTTAACTGACCTCCCATCCCATGAACTTCTTTGGTTAGATACTTGCGAACGAAAGAGCTACAAGTTGCTCACGAGTTATATTACAAAACTTACATCTAATGGTAACATCGTTTGAAAACTGTGAGCAAATATAGACCATTGAAAAATAACAACTTACAATAGACAGATGATATGAAAAAGGTTGAAAAGTAGTTGCTTGAAATATCTTAAACCCCATGGTTGTTGTTCAACAACATTTCCTGAAAATACAGATAGATAACACAGATGGACATAAGAACGCACTTTAGAATAAAGTTAGTTTGGCAACGAGTTCGTATATGAAAATGATATATTTACATGTGTGAAACGTAAAAATGTGCGTCAGCGCTTCAGTTGCGACACTGTACAGAAAAGTTACTAAGTTTCACCACCACCATAAGGGATAAAAAGCATTTTATCAAAAATATTCCAGCTAAGGTGTGGGACAAAGCACTGAACAAGGAATAAATCACAGACTACACAGCGAATGTTAGATTTCATATAATTGACGTTTTCATATTAGACCAAGCAAGAATAATAAACAGTTTAATTACCTTCAGTGCTCAACAAATGATGTTACCTAGAGTGACGACTTGTTAATTTGTGTTTAGTTTCCGTTTATTACAATTCCTTTGAGTTTTTCTTAACTACTTCAGTATGCTGTATGGGGTGGCAGTTTGAACCGTTGAAATTGTGCACAATTCTACGTTGAAAACCTATCCATCTTAACCAATGGAACTTCACAACCAGGTCGCAACCGATAACCACTGCCTTGACGTGGTGGTTGCGCTTGCATATCGCGATGACCCAACAAGCTAAGCTGGCTGGAAATAATGTTTCTGCAGGTCCTACTATGGCAGGAGGATTGTTAGGATAACGACTAGACTAAAAGCAGTTACCGGCATTGTGAGAGATTTATTTACAATATGCTGGGAATCTCTGAGCAAAGTCATACTGTAGGGGAACAGGGATGTAACAGAAGTAAAGTGTTTCCATCAGATGAACAGCATGCCAGCCATCTATGCTGTCCCTTCACTCTGGAGAGAGGGGACTGGAAAAGATCGACCCCGAAAATTGTACATCCCGACTTACCATACTGTGGTCCATAACTGGCTGTAAGTTATTAATAAAGAACCAAACCAAGAAACCAGTTCATACAAGCCATGTGACCAGTCTCAAGCAGTTGTCCCCTGGGCTCTGCCGTTATGCAACACTGACTCTTTCTGTTTCAGGTACCCGAAGAATCAATCAACCGCCACTGTGTGGGCAGCCTAAAATTAGCAACTGCCCACAAGTCTTCCTGTGATAATCACATGGAGATTAGCTCGACTAATATGGTGATATCTAAATTTCTAGGCTCAATAATAATGCGTACACTAAGCGGTCCACGGGAGGCACAAACACAAGAGAACTAGGCAGCCTTTGGACCAGGAAGATGCTGTACTGATCATATCTTCACCCTTCGACAGATTCTAGAACATAGGAATTCTTACCGACGTCCAACAATCGTTATATTTCTTGACCTAAAGGCGTCATTCCATTCTGTCGACCAAGAGGTACTATGGTGATGTTTGGTTGTGAAAGGAATGCCGAGAAAATACATTACACTGATCAAGGCACTCTACTCGAACTCATGAAGCCAGGTGAGGGCTAACGGCGAGTTGTCATCACCAGTGGGGTCCGACGGGGATGCTCCACTGTCCCTATTTCTGTTTAATTCCATCATGGATGTACTAATGGACTTAACCCCGAGTGACGTCAGCGACTCAGGGAACCCCACGTTTCCGGATTCATTTGTAAGTTATCCTGACATTCAAATCACCAAAATGACTTGAGTACAGACTTAAGCACAACCCTACAGCTTCCATGAAGTATGTTAAATCTATTTTAAAGCTTACACTTGCTAGTGGGCACGTGACTTGGGCAGAACTGACTAAATTTTAGGTCTAATGTTTTTGACAGAAATCAGGGGCAATCTAAAGAAAAGAGACGACGGATTGTGAACGCAATAGTAACCTTGGACGCATGCCGTTCGCTGGATTACAGAACCTGCCGTTAGTACAGCATCTGTATGAACACTTTACATGAATTGCGGCGCAAATTTTATCCTGATCTCATTTTTAAGTAATGTTTGGACAGCAGGTTGATAGCACATTAAGGTCAGGATGAGTACTGAGGTTATAGTTAAGATAAGGATCGGGGTGAAGATAAGAATCGGGGTGTTTTATTACTACTATTATCTATATATTTCTTGTTCACATAGATGAAGCCGTTTCGGTAAACATGAAGCTTAAAAACCGATTCCTCCCTAAACGTAATTTGAGAGTATTTTTGAGTCAAGTGAGAGCAAAACATGGTCTTCAATGAGTTTCATTACTATAACGTGTATATTTATATCGTCAAAAAACGGCTTTTTCATGTGAAAATCAGGGCTTTTACTCATTTGGCTCCCTCCAGGTCACTCATACGTTTACACTCCATGGTCGCTATTCTTTACGTTTGCTGAAATCCCATGTCCTCTGCGGTTTTAATCTGCCAAGATTACTGTAGAAAGTGTCATTCAGTGTCTGTCTGTTTATTTATTTATTTTTTGGAGATCACTACTCCATAAATGTCACAATTTCGTAGAAACATGTGCGAACTCAATCTTTCTGGAGGCATGTTGTGAAAATATCTAGACAGACATAGGAACAGGATAATAAGTGGTAAAGGAGTTGTGAATTGAAGAACCTGTTAGAAAAGGATACGCTAGAGAGGGCCATTGAAGTACATGGAGAGATTTCTCATCTCAATTTTTGCCTAATTAGTGAGAAATTGACACCGCTAAATGATTAGGAGATTTTTCTGTGGTATCCAAAAGAGCCCGAAAGATGGCTGGTAAGCCGACTGACTGCACAAAAAGTAAAATCATTTGATAAATGAATATTTATTCATGCTTAAAAGAAGAACACGGTGCTGAATTATTTTTGATTTGATTTTTGATTGCAACTTGATTCCACACTATTTTTGGTACAAGTAAGGAATTTTCAGCGTGGATATCGGTAGCCCATAATTTGCAGGCCGACCATAGATATCAGGTGTGCGTCGGCGAGAGTCCTAACCACTGTGCCACCGACGCACAGTTATGCTGAAAACTAGCACTGAGTTCTAGTCTGTGACATTAAACAAGCGACTTCAGAACAAATTCAGAATTTGCTCACTATAGGATGCTAGAATTATTTCAGAATTACTGAGATTAAATTCAGAATTATAATAAGCTTGGGATGTGTATTTATTTGGAAAACAAACGTAAATAGTTCATGCATTTCTGCTACAGGTGGAATTTACCAACAAAGGTAAAAATTCAGTTACCGAATTATCTAATGTGCCGCGCTAAGTGAACAGAATAGTAACAACAGACGTACCAGAACTGGTGACAAACGGCATCACCGAACGATGCCTCCTTCTGGGTAATTAGTTTACTTAGGTTGGAATTGGTGCATTAAAACAAATTTCTTCACGTTTGTACTCCTGAGCTTCAACGGTTTGGAATAGGATTTGGTGGAAAAAGAAGAAGTTTTTTCTGTAGACTGCAAGTCGGAGTGATCTTGTTCATGAAAAATAGAAGTAAAAACTCATGCGTCGGTGGCACAGCGGTTATGACTCCCGCCGATCGTGCACATGGTCCGAGGTTCTATCCCTTGCCGACACACATCTGATATCTATGGTCGGCCTGTGAAATTTGGGCTACCGATATCACATGCTGAAAATCCATACCTGTACCAAAAAATACGGTGTGTGGAATCAAGCTGTAATAAAAAAAGGTAGAAAAAGATAGGTAGACTACGAAAGCTAATTTTCACGATTTTCTGATGATTGCGCTTAACGTTGATTTTTAAAGTAGACTTTCCCATCACTTCAACACCAGTTTGCAGGTTATTAGGGATACTGGGCTTCAGATGTATACATGTCTTGCCAAGTATTTAATACCAAACGTCTCTTGGTTTAGCACTCATTTAAATTTTAAATACACCGATATTTCAAGATCATAGAGCTTCCTGAGGTCCTTTTCACCGTATATTATAAAATACAACACTGTCGCAGGTCGAAAAGACACCGTTTGTAACGTTGAAGCCCACTGATTGTAAAAGGTCAGAACAATTCCCAACTGAAGCGTATAGTCAGATTCCACCTTCTCTATTTTTAGTTTTCCCTCAGCTAATCTCGTTTTAGGGGGAACTGTCTGAATTAGTCCTAATAAGACGAGTGACTTTAGGTCCAACCTTAAGAGTTAGAGGGTTGGTTGCCGTTAGAGTAAAGAATTCCGGTAGTATTTTCCCGAACCTTTCGGCTGATAGTGAAGGGGATTCAATGAGTAATGATAGCTCGCTTTCGATCCCCGGTCTTGGCTTTGTCTTCGGTATATATCAGCCAAGAATTCTATGCTAAACTTTTCGTATTTAACAAAGGATCGCCGAGTGTCATAGAACTCCTCAGAGGTCTCCACCTGGGCCTAATCTTTGACCTAGGACGTGCTGCATTCGGCGGTCGTTTTTGGATGCGCTGTGTTGACTGCAATTGTGCTAGTGTTTCCGTTAATGGTATTATACTCTCAGTTTTTGTGCTTGAGGGGTGCCAGCTTACAGGCACCAGCAATATGACAAATAACATACACATGGGGTGAGCATATTTATAATTATTCACTTACACAAGATACATATATATAATAATAATTTGTATTTTCATATAAAGATAAATTTACATGAAAATGCATGCCATTTTTACAGGCACGATCAAGTATGGTATAATGTCAAATCTTAGATTGTCTACAAGTTAATGATGTTTCAGTAGTTAAATATTTGATATATATATATAATTACACTCATTGTCTGAACCAGGCCGTATAGTTATTGAATCGTACAGTTGTCCTCCAGGTTGGGCGGGAAAACCGACTTCGTTTCGTTTTCATCCCGTGGTTGTAGGCATACGATAACCAACCAATATTGAGGTTAGTACAACTTTTACAAGGGATTGGAAGCTGATTTAGAAAAGTTAAAGTGCTAAGGTGAATCATCAAAGTGTAATAAATTAAGTAAGTGCAATACATCATTAGTAAATACATTTATATAGGAAATAGAATAGGAAACTAATTAATCCCCAGGCCGACAACGTTCATTTGCAATATATAATACTACCCATATGGTTCTTACTATCATGATGTCCACTTTTGGTTTTAATACAATCATTTTCAAGCCAGTTGTTTTTATTTCATGCCTTTTTGTCTATTTGGTGCACGGCCGTACCCTACGGAGAATAGGAATAGAATAAGTCGAATCAAATTCATATAGAGCTATAAAATGTTAGGTTAAATGGAATATAATGAAGATCAAGTGAAGACGTTATTAGAAAATGAATGAGATAAGCCACTGTGAAGTGGTATTTAAAGATCTGACAATGGATAGCAAGTTAATTTATAAGATGCCCCATAAATCTGTGCAGATCCCGCGTGGTCACATCTCAACAATAAGCTGAGCGAATGGTATATATTTAAAGGTAGAAGCATGATCTGTCAAGGCGTTCATTGTTATCTTTTCAAGATGAAGATCTAAGCCCTCATAAAAATCAGAAATATCTCGAGCCTTTAAATTGCATATTGCTGTTCCTGCAGAATGGGGTGATTCACCTTAGTGGAATAATATCCATAAGATCGCTTTGCGCAGGCGGAAGCAATGTATGCAGTATAATACAAATCATCGCCACTGGAGAAATTTAACCAAAATGCGCGCCACATTTGTTAGTTGCGTTAATGGGTATCGGAACGGTAGGTTATTCATATAGTGACAAAACAGTACTGCGAAACGTTAGTTAGCTCACCGGGAGAAATGGTTTTAGCAATATGAACTTCTACTAACACACCTTAGCAGTAGTTGTTCAGCTAAACGTACATAGAAGTAGTGATGTAGCAACAGGCAATTTTCAGATCAACGTTGCTAGGATCCAGAATACTAGCGAACTAATCTGTATCAAGTGAGCAATGGTGCGTGCTGGAGATGGAAATTATCATCAGTGAGATTATGCATGCAACCATCAGGAAATTTTCATTACTTCGTAAATAACCAGATTTATTAGGGTCGTACAGAAAGTGATTGGGACCTTTAATAGATATAAAGGTAATGTTCCAAAAGTGACCTCCAGGATTCGTTGCAGAAGAAAGAAACAGGTAATTTACAAGGCAGTTGCAGTGTGGCGTGCGCTACTGATAAGATTTATCAGTAGTGTATATAAGGACAGGTTCGCACGCATAAAACCTTCAAGTAGTGGGGAGATAGATCTGATGTCAGAGGAACCAAATAATGCATCGTCGCCGAAGTACATGGAAGAAGTGAAAGAAACACAACATGGAGGTTAGAAGCGGCCCAACACGGGAGATCTGGGCTAATGGCGCAGTGAAGGTAGGGTGTAAATAATTTGGCTATGTAGAGATACCAAGCCTTTCGTCTGCTGGCTTTACGAGGGTATTTCTGACTGGTAGATTTTGCAGATCGTTCTTATGGTAATTCAACAAATACCTGCATTCTCTGTCATCATTCAGAAAGTCATATAAAAAAACTGGATTGGTGAGGGATATTAGAGGACAAACTACAGCAGAACAAAAATTTCAAGTGGAGGTCACAATGAGTGATTTATAAATTCATACATATATAATACTGAGTGTAGAAAATATAATTATGGTGATACACTAGCTACTTCTGTTATGCCCAGTTTTATATTACATGCAAGAGCTAATATTAATGTCCTGTGTAGAAAAGTTTATCATGTTCTTCCGGCAATATTATTACTTATTAATGAACTCATAACTTTATTTAACTTCTAATATCTGTCTGGGGCTAAAAGCGAGGTGTAGGAGCTGGACGCAGCAGAGCGTTGTCATCTTTGAGGAGTTTGGTGACTGAATAGATGAATGCTGAAAGTGTCTGCGACATGCACATTAGCTGGTAGTTTGTTTCAAATGTTTAAATACTTGTTTATGAAGAAGCTGGATCACACGAAAACGCTCTATAGCGACTAGGTTGTCATAACTGATGGGAGAGGTAGATTTAATTATTGGCCTGGAGAAGAGCATGAGAAGATTTGTTGGCTTGTAGTACAAAATAAGGTTTTAGCTGAAGACGTCTTTTCCAGAGGGCTTCTATTTCTAGTCTGTTGCAGTGCTTAGCGTAGTTGACACCGCATTCTAGACCAAGAGTTCTTAATTGAAATTGCCACTGCACGTTGGCAAAATTTCCCGGGTTTATTACCCATACTTGTGTGACTAATCTGCCCTCCATGAGTCGTCTTTCCTCCTTAGCATTCGGCCAGCGACACCTGCAAACTGCTCAAAGAGAAGTTACAATCTTTAGGGTATAGTTACTCTTGTATTTACCCCGGGAACACCTGCACGTAGTCTTGCTATTTAGCGTATTAATAAATCTCATGATTTCTAAACAAAGTGAACATATATGTCACTTGCCGAGGACGTCTTGTAATTCTTCCTGTCTGGCTGTCCTTTGTCTGCTTTTCTCATAATTTCAGCTTGCATTTAATTCTCTGGACGTTAACAAATAATGTGATTATTTGGCGATTTATAGCAGCAAATAAAAGGGGTCCTGGACGCTCACCGATCCTACGTCGTATAAATACTTCAGAGAATCCGCATACTGTCTCCTGTAACGCATCCTCACTGGCGGCTGTGGAATATTATCTTTATATCAATAGCCAAGTTCTTATCACTAGCTGTAAAGCTCCATTAAATGTGTAGGTCTAAGAAATGATTGAAGTGTGTTGAGTGTCCGATTCCAAATCTCACTGACCTAGATTAAGGTAAATTTCACCTCTTGTACACTTCATTCGTCATTCCACATTACATACCTCAACAGTATTCCGGCTCCTGACCGCATACGAGCTTAAAATTACCTGTCTCTGATTGTTGTTGAGTCAGTCATACTTCCTTATGCATTTAGCAGAATACTGACTGCTGTGGTAAGCCACTTGAAGTTAATGTTGTTGCAGACGTCATTGGTGAAAGATTTTTCGAGATATATTTTGATTACGCGTGGTTATAATATGTACCTGAATCCTGGCTGATTGTGAAATGAGCACAATACCGTAGAAACCAGAAGAAATTAAGTTGCCTGCTCAATCTTGACGGAAATTTTAGAACCGAACATCTGCATGGCCATGTCATCATATATTGTGTTATAAATCAACCATTGAAACTATCGAAATAGTAATAATTCACCGACATTTAATGGCTTCAGATTAAATCGTATTCGATTATGGCATGCTCTCCATTTCAGCCTATCTGTGTATAATGAAATATACTATTACGACTATTCCAAATGAACTTAGACTAGGGTGAAAAGTACTCAAGCGCGAAATAGATGTTTGGACCAAATGTTTGCATAGTT